TTGCCGTGTAACCATCGATATTGTGTAGGTTCGATCATAAGTATTCGTGAGCCAATATTCGTTACCAGCGCACAGTTTTCTTTTTAAATCATGCGGTGCACATAATATTATTTAATACCACACCGCGAGATATCCGGACGACTACGATACGCCGAGTGTACCTCGGGGAACTGACATATAATATTCATACGTATTTTTTCTCTGTAAAATTGTCAGATCTCTGTGATACGCTCAGTATACATTATACGTTATAATATTATGATACGTCGATATGACATCATTATTCTTCCTAGTCAAATAACCCCGTAAAATGTAATAAACAATTTTTATATAATAATGATGAATTATATTTACTATTTTTATTTTTATTTTTATTAATGTAAATACTTTTAATTATCGTATAGATATGTTGTACATATAATAATAAATACCAATAGAATAACCAAATTGTTATCGTATCCGTCTTCTCGTGAAGTATTTTCTGAAAATCCTACAACTACATAACGAAAATTTTATAATAATAAATTAATAATAATAATAATAGTTATAGTAATAATAATACATATTATAACATATTATACTTAAAATACATATTTCATACGAACACACTTTAATTCTTTGAGGTTAAGTTACATTTTTTTTTGATTAAAAGTCTTTTTATAAAGCTATATATTATAGATATTATTTTAGTTATTATTTGGATTTCCAATATTATTACAACCTCTATTTATACCCTTCTTAATATGTACTGACTAAGACTACGGCACCACGACGAAGAAAAAGCGGCGCATGGGCACCATTGCTATCTCTCCAGGTTTGCGTCCATCGAGTCTATAACGCTCTGCTTCTGGAGAAGGGCGTTGTTCAGTGCGTTGATCTCATTCTCGTACGTCTTCTTCATTCGTTCCAGCTCAGCAGACTGTTCGTACAGGCGGCCGCTCAAACGGTTCACTTCCTGATGCGCACCTTGTTCGACGCACTGTAACACAATACAATCGTCGTCAGTGGTGTAAAAATCTGGTGGGTAAAGTGGGCAATGACATATCACACATAAGTATAATATATATTTTATATAGGTAGGTACATAAAAATATATGATCTGCGTAGTCATAAAAGTAAACAATCATCAACGTTCACAATATAAGTTTACCTATAATGATAAGTATAACGGTAACATTAAATAATTTACTATTTATGCCAATTCAAGTTGTTGATATACAATATAGGGTAAACATGTGAAATTCTGTCCGGAGTCACCATGTTATTATGTTAGCGTTCGAATTGAAAAATAAGATTGAAAATAGACCTAAAGGGCAATAAATGGTGAGCAATATATTGCTATACACTATTATACTAAGTATATCGGACATACGTTGACCCGGATCGCAAATTTACTTAGGTATACCTATATACTACCGATATACCTATACTGCCTGAAGAAAAATGCCACCTGTAGCCGGGATTGAACCGGCGTCGGTGCGCGTCGCAACCGACGCCTTAGTCCGCTCGGCCACTCCGTCCCCCATTATTGGTATTGTACTACCTATTAACTATATTATTACATTAAATATTGTATATAAATCAAACGATAACCCTTCGACGTTGACGGGCGAAAATAATACCGTTGAGGCACATAATTAATACATACCTTTAGGTGTTCGGTGAGGGCCTTCACCCGGGCGCTTATGGAGGCGCTCAACACAGCGGCCGAAGCGTCATTCCGGCCTTCGCCGGCCGCGCGACGCAACAGCGCCTCCTGTTCGTTGATGGTTTCTCGCAGGAACACCATGGCATCCGCCAACTGTTTCTTGTTGGTGTTCTTCTCCGACTCACAATCGAACAGGTGTTTCTCCAACGCGTCACATTTCGCTTTTAACTGCCTGCAAACGATAAACGAAATGCGTATTCATAGATACTTCATTATTATGAATAATAATTATAATACATGTCGAATACGCACGTCATAAGGTGAATCTATATATCAAAATGCCCAATGGCTATAGTTTACAAATATCCCGTAAAGCAAAGCTTAAAAATCCAAATAGGATAAAATAAATGAAAAACCCATTCGAATAATCCTCACGTTTCGCTAACGTATAGTTGTGATATTATTATATGAATAATAAGGCATATACTTTCTAGTTTCTACAACTTAAAACTATCTACGCGAAAAATGGTTATGCGTAATTGTTTTTCCGATCAATATATAGATATCTGATATAAAATACATGTAAGCCACGAATAACAACAGTCAACAAATGTTTAGTTATATGCAAATCATAACATTATGCATATCATGTTCATAAATCGTAACCACTTCGATAGTCGGATGTCGGATAACCCCCGGCGGGCGCGTATATATATATTATACAATAGAGTATTAGAGTATCATGTCGAACATGACGCGTCCTGCGTATAAAGGCATATATTTTTCAGAAGTCGAAATCATGTTCTTATACGGTGTTTTTTTTAAACATATTTATACATTCACATCACACATAATATTATAATATTAAATTATCATAATATTTTATATTTATATAGAAATACCTACAAAAAAAATGTTCAACTTTGGACGGGGTGTAGACGTTTAAAATGGTTAAAATCATGTTCATTTACGATGATGTTATATTAAATTCGCATATATCGAGTTCCCCTACTATCGTTTATGGTTTATTAAGGCCCTGTAGTTATATGCATACACTGTAACCATCGGGTTGTTTTACCGTTATGATGTAGCTGTATATAATATATTTGACATAAACACACAATTATAAATTGAGTCTTACGAGCACTGTAAATCCAAAGCTTTGTTGATGGACCGCTGTTGATTTAATTCGGTGGTCAGAGTAACGATCCTGATGTCGAGTGTAGGCCTTTCCTCTTCAAAAGTTATCAACCTTCGCATCAACGTATCACGTTCGTCATCGTAACGACATTTGAGTTCTTCGAAAAGTCTACAAAAGTGTTAATATAAATTCCATGTTTATAAATTTATATAACATTCATACAAACAATCATTAAACGTTGGATTATATTTTAACCGTTAGTATTAAAGTAAAGTACCTACTAAAGTCAATAATCGAACTGTCGACATCGATTTATTTTGATAGTAAATTAATTAATTTAAATAATATTGTTGGCGTAGATACAAGAGTAAGAAAAAATACTTAAGTATACCTCCGACACTCGTTCACCGCAGAAGTGTGCACAGCAATTGGAATTTTATTATCATCTTCAGTTTTCATGCGATTCAAGTCTCCAGCTAATGAGGACACACGACCTTGCAAATGAAGAAGCTCTATACGGGCATTCTCATATTTCTCAGCTAAATGGTCTCGTTCGCCATTTAATTCAGTAACTAAAATATAAAATATAAGATTTAAGAATAGTCTTACACAAGTCATTACAAATTATAAATATTGTTTGTACAATTGGAACAAATGTACTTTTCCAGCTCCCGTTTCAATGCCAGGTGTAATTATAATAGTAACTTATTATCCATACTCATCTGTATTATCAGTCACACAACGTAACAAACTTTAAATTGTATATATTCGGAGAGGAACAATTTATTGGTTTTAGAATCGTAAGATACATTTTTTTTGTGTCTATAATTATGTTATTGAGCAGAATATATGATAAAATCTTAAAAATTAAAAGTGATTTAATCAAGGTACAAAATTTGACTTAGATGGTAGTTTAGGTCAAAAGTAGAAACATTTTTCTAGAGAAACTATAAAGTTTCTAGGAGAACTTTTCTTAATAATTCGTAAAGTAGGAACAAGTTAGAAAAGCTCACTCAGTGAGCATTCCAAATTCCCGATTTCTATAAATGTATTTTAAATTTTAATTCAACACAATAAACTATAATTCCAAGTATAATTTAAACAGAATTTGGAAACATTAATATTTTGGTGGTATATTTTGGGTAGTATGAATCATGAATCTATCTTAAATTACCTATATGGCTATATAATAAGTAGTCATCTTAATATCAACAATCGTAGTTATGTATAACGCGGTAACTAACGGACGGGCGGACACAACAGGGATAATAAGGTATTCTAAGCCTATGTGTAGAAACCTAAAACAAACAAGTAAAAACTAGTAAAATTCAATATTGATTAAGGTCAATAAAATAAATCCTGAGTATACTCGCCTGTACCAGTTGTAGGTAGGTATCTAAAAAATGGCTAAATTTTAAATAAATTTATAAAATATCGTACCTTTGTGGCTATGTACGATTATATATTAATTATTTATACAAATATATAGATATCTGTAAATGAGTATTTATTTATTTTTTTATAATTTATAACAGTGATGGGAACATTTTTTTTAGATTTTGAGCGTAATTGTACTTTCTTAAACTATTGTGAAATTGATGTCTAACATAGGTGTAATGCGTAAATTTAGTTGTTGGGATTTGGGAGGGTTGAAGCACTACAATATCGAATAAACTTTAAAAAAAAATTAGGAAATGTTTGGGGTCCACCATTCCACCCCCTCCATATTTTCACCCATCATGTCTAAAATGGAAACAGAGGTTTTTTTACATTTTTTCAGATACCCTTCGGGATTCAGAGCTTCTGCAGTTCTGCTAATATCCATTTGGTCACCAATTAGATGTTAGCACAGAATACTATTATGTCAGAAATGTTAGTATCGAATTTAGTGTAATATTCTGATATGATGTTACGACCGTTATCACTTATTAGATAAATCAACAAAATACACGCTTATAAAGAATAATCGTGACAAAATAATAAATATTAATCTATTGTTTTGTTTTTGTACTTCACGTCTTCACTGCTTCGGAGTTCAGAGTACTCAGTTGTTGTATAATAGTCAGTAGTTCAGTTTGTGTTCGGTAGTTCGGTTATTATTCAAATTCAATGTTGTTCACAATGTACTGTTGATACTTGTACAGTTGTTAACTTGTTCATTTTAATGTAATATACTTAAAATTGTAAGTAATCTTTTTTTCTTTTGTTAACATGGGTATTCCCGGTTTGACATCATTTATAAATCGTAATTCAAATCAATATTTTGAAAATCTACAACTCAAAGACACTTTAGTTATAATAGATGGTTATGCTTTAACAAATTTTCTATACAGATTGTATGAAGGCCAAACAAGCGCTTTCGGCGGAGATTATGATGTTTTAGCCAAGGTTTATACTGATTTTATTAACTTGTTAACGAGATGCAATGTAACACCAATTTTTGTATTTGATGGTGCCTATGAACAGCGGAAAATAGAAACAATCATGAGTCGAATGAGCCAGAGAATACAATCTTACGGCCAACCAATGAAGTCTGCTGAATGTATGCCAATGTTTGGTAGTGATGTTATATTTGACATTCTTAATGATATGGACATACCACATATAAATTGTGATTTTGAAGCTGATTCGGAGATCGTGGCATTGGCTAAGTTATTAGATTGTCCTGTTATAAGTCGTGATTCTGATTTTTATATAAATACAGTACCGTATATACCATTGGACAAGATTATCCTTGATTTAGATTCTAATATAAAAGTAATGAATTGTCAGGTATATAAAGTTGAAAAATTACTGAGTGAATTTGGTGGTTTAAATCTTGACTATTTACCTTTAGTGGCTGCACTATTAGGTAATGATTACATAAGACAAGACACATTTTCTTCGCTTTTACGAATAAACCCAGGGTGTTTCAACTGTGGATTGAAACTTAAACGAATCACAGAATGGCTTAGAAAACAACATGATATAAAATCAGCTGTATCAAATATGACTTATAATTTATCTCGCAATAGTAACTATATCAAAAATCAAATAAACAACATCATAAACGACTATAAAAATATGAATAGCAAATACTTATCATTCATTCTTCAATATAAAAAGATGAGCGCATATACCGATCGATTAAGACATTTAAAACCAAACGGAAAAAGTATACTACCTTCTTGGTTAGAGTATAACTATCGTAGAGGTACTGTAAATGCCGAAGTTATGACTATCGTAACATTAAAAAAAATATTTTTTAAAGTACAAATTGAAGATTATGAAAAAGTACCTTACTATGAAATTTCCTTCAAAATTATGGAAAGAATAATTGGATTATTGTTTGGAAAATGTGAATCGATTCCCACTTTAGGAAGAAAAAATGGACTTAATATAGGTCAATACAAAATAAAACCATATATAACTAATCCTTATGTACCGTTAAATGATATAAATAAGAGTGAATTAGTATACCGCAAAAATATAATTTTAAATTTGGTTGGTATAAAAAAACTTGATGGTGTTCCAAAAGATATGGAGTTATTTGTTTTGGTTTTAATTTACTGGGCAGTACATACCAATAATATTAAATCCAAACACATGCATGCCTTAATTGTATGTGCAATAATATTTAATGTCATCAAAAAAATTGTAATTGATCCGAAAAACAAAAAAACTGAAGATAATAATGGCAAAAGTGTTATAGAAGAAAATATTACTAAAGTGAATAAAGAAGATTGTTTAGAAGCCATGAGTGTGTTATCAAATTATTTTCAAGTTAGTCAATATTATAACGACAAGAATTTATATTACAAGATTATTCACTCATTTGCACAATTTCAGAGTTGTGTTTATTTTTTTATGATTCTCAACTCATTGCTGGACTTCCCATTTGATCAGTGTCGTATAGAAAATTTTTATAAAGGGACATTTTTGTATAATTTATGTGTACAAATGGAAAATTGTGATCCAGAAGTATTTGTATCAAGTAAACTGTTTAAAAAATTAGATTCATTAAATAATGTTTACAAATCAATAATTGAACATATAAATGTACTTTTGCCAGTTCCAAAAAAAAGAGCAACTGTAACACAGGACACCAATAACAGTTCAAGATCCAAAGGCAAAAAAACACAGAAAAATCAAAAATAATCTCAACAAACTATTTTATATTTAAAACTTAAACACTAGTACCTATGCAAAGAACTTATTTAATATATTGTATATTATGTACCTATATTATTCAAAAATAGATTTTAGATTTTATATTTATGACTATTATACTTTATTTTATACTTTAATCATAATAATTTGTTAAATTGTTAAATTGTAAGCTTATATTAAATGTAATTCATTTAACAGTAAAATTAAAATGAATTTATTATGATTTTACATAAACAATATGTTAATTTAGTTACTGTAAAATGTGGTGACCCCGGACAGATTTTAACAATTTTTTTTTTTTAATTCTACCTCAATGTTATATTGTTTCTAAAATAATTAAAAATATATACCACATTCTTAAGTATGTTGAAATCATATAAGCAGTGGCGCCCAAGATATATTTTTCAGGTGTAGCAAGAAATAATTTTACCCACCAACTCACCCTCTCAAAACCCAAAATTTTATTATTTAATACATTTTAACATATTTTTATTGATAATATTAGTAAATATTAAGGTATCAACCAATATAATCTGTGATTAATTATGAACATATTTCAAGTTTATTATTTTTTGTTATTATACCCATCCGCCCCTTATTTTCAAGGTATAGCGACCGCTACACTTAGAAATAGGGTTGGGCGCCACTGCATATAAGAGAAGAATAATCATTAAGTTCATTAAATTTCCCTCTTTTTTCTTAAAGTGCATAGTGCAAATTTTGTGCAGAGTGACCAGCAAATTTGGATGACTTTGGACAGTGGACATTTATTAGTTTTTATTTGAAACCGATGATATATAGTATGACAATAGCTGACTTCAGACAATATTAAAAAAAAAATGAAATCAATTGAAAAAAATTCCATTCAATTATTTTTTAATTTTCAAACAAATATTAATAATTAATAAACTAAAGTTTTGTGTAGTTTTAAATTAATTTATTTCTTCAGTGAAAATATTGTTGTCCAAAGGCCACATAAATTTGTAATAATTTAGAAAAAATAAGCAAGTCTATAGCGGATTTCTATGCAAGTAAGATTGTGGGGGGATCTAAGGGGGCTATAGCTCCCCTATAATTTTGTTTATCCCCAATCCCCTACATTTTTTTTGTTACATTTTAAGAATAAATGTGTACAGAAACATAATAGCCTATAGCCCTGCTTTATTAATGAACCACGCTATGCCTATGAAGATTACCAAAAACCGCATTCAAAAATGTCTTATTTATTGGTTGTGGTACAATTATAAGTTTGTTAATTTGAAAATATAAAAATAGAATATTTTACCTCCATCCCATGTTGTGGTGATTACAATGTTATCGAAAAATATTGTTTTCTATACAAGTTTTAATGTGGTTATAATAGATGTTATCATAGATATCAGTTTTTAACTATTATCAAACATTTAATCAAAAGTTATAATTTAACTACTAAAACATGTAATTGTCCAGAAACCCACCACATGTCTGAATTTATCCTATTTTATTTTCAATAGTATACTTACTTACATTAGTTAGATCATTTAAGCAGTTAAGCTTCCCTTGTCCATTGTTTTTAAATATAAAAAAGTTTTTTGTACAACATTTAAAAATGAAAACACTAAAAACCAACTTTACCTCTTGACTGGTATGAACGAAGTAAATCTTGTAACTTCGCTTGATGTAATTTGGCTTGCCTGACTAATAACTCATTATGTTCTTTTAGCATTGCTACTTCGGACTCCACTGATTTCCATTCTCCATATGTGACTTCGACCTTTAAAAATAATCAAATAAAAATAAAAATGATATATAATATATTTAATAACATTAATTAATTAAATTAGTACTTTTTCATTTGCTTCTTCAAGCTGTTGATAAAGATTTTCATTTTCAGCAGCAATTTCTCTACTTCTAGAAGAAAATCGAGCAAGTTCATTTTTGTAGCTTTCAATAGTAACATCTTTCTCTTCTAACGATGTTTGGTATGCTTCTAACAATGGTGATACTGCATTAATATCTTCTCTGCGCCAGCTTATATTTTTGGGATCTAAACCAAACAAAAAAAATAAAATATTTCTTACATAAAAAACAATATTTTGCTGTAAAAGCAATCTAAAACTATTAAGTAAAAATGTATATGAATATCCAACTGGAGGAAAGTGGATGTGCTGTACAGGGTGTCCTCAACCATATTATTAGCATCATTCTACCATGCAATCAACTATCAAGGATGTAATTGTAAATAATGTTTTGAATATACTCCATACTTTACAAAAATGTATTTAAAAAAAAATTGTCTTCCTACACTAGAAAATTTGTCGAACAATCACATTTTTATGGTTCTCGAGCGTAGTTGTGTGTCATGGGTAACCACAGAATTTAAAAATAAATAAATTAGGAAAGCTCACTCTACGAGCCTGTTAAATTCCCAGTTTTCAAATGTATTTTAATACGATGCAAAAAAATATTATTCCAAAAAGGATTTAAACAGAATTTGGTAACCTTAATAATTTGGTAATATATTTTGGCTAGTTTGATTCTGTATTAAATACTTATTACTTTACTTATTACTTAATACCAGAGGTATTCAAACTTTTTCATCCCACTGCTCCCGTGTATTCACAATATTTTTACGGCTCCCAAATTATTATGAAAAAATTGAAACAATACGGATACAATATTATAGACAATATGGGTGATAATAACAGTAACTTTAATACTGGAAATAAAACTTCAAATAGTCGGGTAATGTGTCTCGTTATTGTTTCCATAATTGCTTAAATGATTGTAAATAATATTTATATTAATTATACTTGACCTAAATTAATTTTGGTTTCCGGTGCTTTGACGCGGCTCCCTTCAACAACTTTGGCGACGCCTCTGGGAGCCGCGACACACAATTTGAATACCTCTGACTAATACAATAAGTAATTACCAGTTATCTTAATATCAACAATAGTAATTAAATATCTTAATACAAACAATCGTAACTACAGTATTGGATAATAATGTAATGTAAATTAAAAATTACTGTAAAAAAATGGGGTTTGGTAAGTTCCCACACGAAACATAGCAGGTAAGCGAGTAAATATGTAAGTTCCAACACGAAAAAAAATACGCCCGTACGTAAGTTCCCACACACAAAAAATTACACCTGTACGTAAGTTAAGTTATTAAGACTTAGGAATGACAACTTAAACGAAATTTTTTATGTATAAAATAATAATAATAATAGAAAAAAATCAAATTTTATTTGGTTTATTTCGAAAGCTCAAACACTTCACATAGTCAAATAGTCACAGTCAGTGGCGTATACATAACTTTTGTATGGGGGGGGGGATCAGTTGCAAACAAATTATTATGGAACGAAAATACCTAAACCTAGGTATGTGCTCATTTAAATACCTAATAAATGATAAAACATATATATATTCAATACATTTTATTTTAAATTCTACAAGTAATTATAGAACAAAATTTAATTTTCTTTTTTTTTTTAGTCAATAATATTTATTATTTAAGCAATTTTTAGCTTTCAATGAAAAAATTACTGATAGCTATTAGCTAGTATGTTGTAGGTATATCCATGTTAGTTGATAATATTATACAAAATTGATAATGTTTTGGTAATAATACGATTATACGATTATATGTAAATTATTTTTAATTAATTGTTGAATATTGTGTTAAAATAAAAATTTACAAAAAATCCTTGCCATTTTTTTTCCTTGTAATTTCCTTACATTAAGTCATTAAGAACACTATTTTATAAAATTTAAAAAAAGGCCTATGGGGGGGATCTGACCCCCACATCCCCCCCCCTTGTATACGCCCCTGATTGGAATCAAAAACGATAACATTTTCAAAATATTTAGATTCATGTCGAGGTATTCGTTATATGCATACGAAATTTTCGTTTACAGTGGAATGTCGATTATCCTTGGTATTGGTGGGGAGAGTCTCACATGGATAAATGAAAACTATGGTTAATCGAGACTTTTTATAATAATGACATTTTTTATTTAATTATAATGAGAAATACTTGGGTAAAATTGTATTCGTTAGTCGAGCTAGCGTATATTACGTCGTTCGTCACACCGCGATCTTTTTGACCGCGTTTTAATTTTTAAGAATATAATTGTGATATCTCGGTGATTTGAGTCCTTTTTGAAATCGTTTGATTAAATTTTATGATATTTTTATTTTTATTATTGACTGCTGCTGTTATTATCGTGATTATAAAGTAAACGAAAGCAATATTACCACTAGGTATGGCAAAAAATTGCAAAATATCGATATATCGAAAAAACAAAATTAAAATAATTAATTAAAAAAAATAATAAAATTAAGGCAAATCGTCCGTGTCAATGAAGTGGGTTGAATTTAGTACAATTTTTGATTGATGTAGCAACGCATATGGGCCACGAATTGTGACAAACCTAGGACTTTGGAGAGATTTAATACTATATTGTGGCGATGGAATTCACGACAATCAGGCACGGGCCCTCCGTTGCAGGTAACTGCGATCGTGGACGACAATTTTGGTAATTGTTTAATCACTATTATAGTCCTCGTACAAATTTCGAATTCACGTGTCACTTGAAATACGTGTTTATTCAAAATATATATCCGTGTCACGGATACACGGGTGCAAAAAAACACTTGTTCCATTGAGACCTCTAATATCTACAGTCCATAATACTTATTTTTAAATTACAGAGATTTTCGGAAACACACTCTAATTCTCATTTATTACTCACCCATACACTTAAGTGTTCACAGTAAACATATGACATGACGTATTAATATATAGCATAATACGGTTTTATTTAAAAGTATATAATATAGGTAATTTTAATTCAAAATAATAATAACCATATTATATTGAGTTTAACGAGCTACTAAATTGCCCCTAATAAATATGATAAATGCAACTTAATAATACGGTATCAACCAATCTCTTATCAGTCGTGGCTTATCATAAACCACAATCTTTTGTGCGCCCCGCCAAAATATCATATCGTATCAGGTATCTGATAATAAATTATTATCCATACCTTTGTTTAAAAGACACACCACGGTTACGATTGTAGTACAGCCTTAAGTTTTTTGAAAATCTTTTTCTGTGGTCTACATTCGTCACTGGTGAGGCAGAACAATTACATTTAAAGAGAACATATTTTTAAATAAAGAGATTTCTGTATTTCATATTATTTTCATATTTTACTTAATTATTCGATATTCAGTGCCTCCCCAATCTCCATACACGACAAAAGTGATTTGTTATTACTATCATTATTATCGATATTTCATTTTTGTGATTTGAATTTCGTAAGTCGTAACGGCTAAAGCTCACCATTCCAACTTCCAAGCATGAAGTAAGAGTATCGTAGATATTATATTTTAATCAATAATCATAACTATTTATTATGTATTTATGTTTATGTGTATAAAATACAAAATATACGTAATTCTAATAAAATAAACGAATATGAAATGATGTAAATTATGATGTAATACCTATATTTTTATATTATTTACATCAGGCGCGTATCCAGAATTTTATTTTGGGAGGGGCTGAACAAAATTATCAACATAGTCACACAATAAACAAAAAGTGGGTAAGTGGATGTCGCTCTGCTGTACAGTAGGTAACAAGTGGGTCACTGTAATGGATGGTGTAAAATTTGAATTCAATGATATAATATCATTGTATATGAAAAACGATTCTGAGCGAAAACGGTCAGTCAGCCTATGATATTACTAAGTATATTTGATGATATTATTATGAATAAAGTAATTTATAAATTTACCTATTTACGTGGACCATTGTTTTAAATTTTTAATCCTTAACTATGAAAGTTGAACATTTTATAAATTTTTAATTACAAAATATTTATTATATTTTAAATTTGATAAATTTTGTCAAAATTCGAACTTTAAATGATTATAAGAAAAAATTGTGCCTATGTATTTTTAATATTTTTCAACTAATATTGTTACAATATATCAGGAGCCTTTCGTTAAATTTTCACTCTTTTTACCCAACAAAAAAATTTTATTGATATTCATAGAAAAAAAACTAAGAAAAATGAAAACTGTCAATGTCCGTAAATAGCTCAAAAAGAGGCAAAATATTTTCAAATTTTTTTGGTGTATAAAAAATGAAAACATTCAGCAAAATTTTAAGTTTTGTGATTTTTCCGTATTTTGTCAAGATTCGAACTTTAAATGCTTATAAAAAAACTATGACTAAGGATTTTTAATATTTTTCAACTGCTATTGTAACAATATAGCAGGAGCCTTGTATTAAATTTTCAAGCTTTTTTACCCAACAAATAAAGTTTTATTGACATTCATATTTTTTGGATTTTCTTGAAATTTCAGGGGGGGCTGCAGCCCACCCAGCCTCCCCCATAAATACGCCCCTGATATACATACTCACATTATTATAAATTATTATTCCATAGAAATATTAGTAATAAGTAAAACAATTATCCGACCTTTGGGGTCTGCCTATTGTCTACATTTATGGCTGAATTCATATTATTCTGAGTTTATTGATGTATCTAATATTTCTGATCGATTAGTTAAGATTGTCGACATTAAAATCATCATGTATTGAATTACTTAATTTTTTGTTACAAAAATACATAGTAAAAAATATTATGTCAACAAGATTAAATATTCAAGATGAAAATACATTTTGAAAGGATAGGAAATAGGAATAATAGAATAATATTTTATTCATTTTAATTAAAATTAAAACTGAGAAATAGTTTCAATAATTGGGAATGCGTTTGAATATAAGAATCTCTTAGTCTCTTTGGAATTTTCCTTCAGCCTTTCCTGTGTAGTATGGACACTAGAAAGTATTGTTTGTAATCCTTATGATTAACTACGCTTAAAAAAAATTGTTCAATTCAAATATGTAGGTAGTTCCGAGAATCATATTTATTTTATAAGCTATAACACTCAAACAAAAAATAGAGAAGAGAAAAGGTAATGGAAAGAGCTAGGACCACAGAATAACCAGAAGCGACACCCACTGACTACTGAGAACTCTAAAATCTTTTTAATTTGTTGGCAAACCAGTGTACCTACCTATCTTTGTGTATAACAAAAACGTAAAATTCTTCTTGTCTGGTTTGCCAACGGGTCAGTGCCGCAGTTAGGATTCTTGGGGCCCCGGACAAAGTCAATGTATGGGGCCCTGAGGTCTATGTATATAATATTCTTTTATAGGTTACCTATACAAAAATAAATAATGATGGTGATTTTTTTTAAAAAGCCTAAAAATATAATGTAAAGGCCCACTGACTAGTAGCCAGTGACTGGTGTATTGTTATTAAAATATAACTAGTAACTACACTTTTAGTGTTGTGTTCTTTTTTTAATTATAAATAATAATTAAAGCTTTCCACCCATAAAAGTAACTCAATAACAGTATAACAATAAAACACTATAGTAATATAATTTTATAGATAAATATAGATATTATTATGGATAAATAGTTTCTTCGACAACGAATTAGATAGCATAATAAATTTTATAAATAAATATTTTTATTTTATTTTATTTAAACATTAGATTACAATGCAATTATTTAAAAATTTAAATTAGATGCGGGGCGCCGTCGGGGCCCCCTGAGCCAACAATTAGCAGCACTGCAACAGGTGTTGCAAATCTGCCCCCTCCCCCCCATAAGAACCCATGTTAAACTCAAAAGGTGTCCCTTCTGGTCATTTTGTGATGAATGATAGAAATTAATCGTTTCAAATTAAAGCTCAATTAATACATCATGATTCATGGCTGTAATGTATATATATTTAAGACGTTTCATATTGCTAAAATACTCTAAAACAATTATGAATGATTTTTAATAAAATACTATTTTTTTAAATTGATATTAAACATTTTATTGTGTACTAAATCTTTTGGTTTTTTGACTTTAGTTTATTAAATACACCACGTCTGAAAAAAGAACTAGGCCAGTTACTTAACAAACCTCCTTTTGGTATTAAGGTGAATGTAAAAGAAGGATCAACCTCTGTTTTAGAAGCTGGTAAGAGTTATATTATGTATATTTTTTAAATAAATTTTGTTAGAATGTTAAGATTACAATTAATTTAAACATTAAAACATGTATATTCAACTGTTTTAGAACTCCACGGACCAAAAGATTCTCCATATGAAAATGGAATTTTCAAATTGCAGATAGAATTGCCAGTGAAGTAAATTTGATATTGTATCCGAATGCTGATTAGTTAATTTTTACCTAATTGTGTCCCAATAGGTATCCATTTGAACCTCCCAGAGTAACATTCATAACACCTGTTTATCATCCAAACATAGACAGTGGCGGCAGAATCTGCTTGGACATTTTGAAAATGCCTCCATCTGGTGCATGGAAACCATTGATAAACATTGAAGGCGTATTGGTTGCGATATGCAATCTAATGAACTGTCCAAACCCTAATGATCCGCTGGTACTGGACATTGTATGTATTGAATTCATTGTTTCGTTGCAGTTTCTTATGTCTGTGTTATGATTTTTAGGCAAAAGAATTTAAGAATGATAAAGAAACATTTGAATCCAAAGCTAAACACTATACCAAAGAACATGCTACTTTAGTCACTGTATGATTATATTTTAATTTTAATTTTTCTATTATTTTACAAGATAATACTTCAGCCATCTAAACTACTAGCAAGTAAATTTCCAACTTTGTACACTTTTCTTTATTACTTATTTATAGTGATTTAAAATTGGTTGGTTAAGAACTATTGAACACCAAAAGAAGTTCATTAAAATATTTGAAAGTATTATTGTAACCGGTATCCGGATATTTCACCGCGCGACTATTCACCGCCAACATTTCACCGCATTTATAACTCACCGCGTGCACAATTCACCGCGCATACAATTCATCGCAGTTGTTTTTTTGATAATGTAAAATGTAATAAACCAATTTATCAGTCGATGTCTATATATTAAATTACGACATGGCATTTTTGATATGATGAGCCATTAAGTTTATCTTACTGATACAAATTGATTTCCTTATCCAAAATTCTAAATTTAAAAATAACCAGATACGTTTAACTATACGATTACACACGTTACTGATTATTGAATTATTGTGTCGGCATCGTCCAGTACGTATATCGACGTTTACGAGAGTGTTTCGTTTTATAATCATGAATAATATATCGTATATTAAAAGTGAACGGGGTAAAGATAAATTAATATTAAAAGAGTACATTTATATACTTGAAAAACAAGGTTTAAATAAATTAATATGGAAGTGTGAAAATTATCAGAAGATAAAATGTAAAGGACGTTTACATGTTTGTAATGACGAAATTATAAAAGAATTTAAACATAATCATGTGCCGGACTGTGCAAAAGTTGAAGTATGCAAAGCAATCAACGAATTAAAAGAAAAAGCTATCGAACGACCCGATTTAAGAACACGTGCAGTCTTAGGTTCAATTTCGACATCTGTAAGTACACTTATTTAAAATACTTCTTTTATTAATTGTAAAACTATTCTATTTCATAATATTATACATCTTGTAGTTAACTACTTCAGCAACAGCGCATTTACCTAAATTAAGTTCTCTTAAACGAACGATTCGGCGGATAAGAAATGAGGAAGATACTTCACCACCAAACCCAAAATCACTAAGTGATTTAATGATTCCCCAAAAATACCAATTGACGAACGATGAACAACCATTTTTACTGTACGATAGTGGTCCAGGAGAAGACCGAATACTTTTATTTTCAACCGAAAGAAATTTACGTCTTATGGAAAACTGTAAACATTGGTATGCAGACGGAACATTTTCGACATCGCCTTCATTGTTTACTCAAATATATACGGTAACTGTTTTAAATTATTTTTTAATATATAAGTATATTTTAAATAAAAGGCTATGGTGAACACCAATAAGGGTATAAATAATAATAGGTATATAACCGATCAAATGTTACAATTTAATTACTTTACTTGTTATTTAGAGATAAATGTATTAAAGTTACTTTACTCGTTACTCAAAAAATATTGTAATGAAATTACATTAATTTTCGAATAGAAAAATTAGGTTATATCATAATTATTGTAACTAAATGTGTAAATTACTATATGATTTTACAGATACATGGTGTACAGTACAGTAATGTTTTCCCATCAGTGTTTGCATTATTACCAAATAAAATGGAATCTACATATTGTCGCCTATTCGAAGCATTTTGAAATCAATAAAACCTGAATTGAATCCGGACACGATTATGATTGATTTCGAGAAAGCGGCCATGAATGCCATTTCAAAAACATTTCCAGTTACAAAAATTCGAGGTTGTTTTTTTCATTTTACACAGTCTGTTTGGAGACACGTTCAACAAGCTGGACTTCAACAAAAATATACTGAAGATTCAGAATTCGCTCTACAAATCAGAATGATGACTTGATTGTAACCTATGTACAAACTATTATTATTTATATTGTACCCTTTAAATTAGTTTGTTTATAACAGTCAGATGTGCAATAAAAATACAATCTAAAATGCACTAGCATTTTATAAAGAAACAATAATGAATATAAACTATTGTCTTTAAATAATTTAGATTTGTAATTGATCAGATAAGTTTATTATGGTTCAATGAGTGTCTTAAAATGTATACAATTTACTATAATTTGCAATTCTACAATTTATATAAGTTATAACATATATTTTTTGTTCAGTCATCAAATACAATAAATATATTGTTTTAAATTCTATATTTATGTTTTTAATTCCCATTAAATATACAATATTTTATCGGTTTACCTACTCTAAAATGTACAATTAATTATCCTGAAAAAAACTAGTTAATTAACCAAAAACGTTTAGACATATAATTTATTATGATTGAAATATTTGTTAAATTAGTTATAGGCATGGTTATCTACTAAGATTGGAGCACGGCACGTTACCACGTTTTGAATTGGCGTGACAAGTGAACTAAAATCGCTGGTAGTAGTTTTACCGATTTTAAAACATACAGCAGATTGTAGTTTTGTACTTAAACATAAAAGCAGTGAAGTTCATTAAAAAAATTTTTTAAATATTAAATTATTCATTGATTCAACTCAGTTAGAATAATTTAAATAACTGATAAGTCTGTAAATTAGGTTTTTATAACATAAGCTTAGGGAAACAAAAAAAAATCCCTGAATGAAATGTTCAATTCTGAAAATAAATATTTTTAATTTTATAACATTTTTAATAGATTTAATCACATTTTGTAATTGATCATTTGCACTCTCAATCATTCCATGAATTGTAGGTTAAATTTCTCAAATCCTAGGAAACGATAATTATTTTTATACCATCAAATATATTTATTTTTTTTAAGAGTTAATAGTTAATACTCTAATTATTAAAAAGCAATAGGCTAAAGCCAAACAAGTTTAAGCAAGTAATTAATGTAATTTAATTTCAATTTTTCTTTTTTTCTCTTGATATTTTTTTCAATTTAAGTTTTTCTTGACAAGTGTATTGACATTAAATTGACATTTAAATTAAATAAACTGAAATATCTGTAGACAACTCAAGTTGATGTTCTGCGCATATATTTGAGTCCAAATTTACTTTCAAAAACTTCATCTATGACTTTCAAATACATTAAAATTTTAAATTTGTACAATGTTTAACAAAGGAACTTTCAACTTTACTGAGAAATTCAAACAAACAAGTGATTGGATATACAAGGTTACCTCTTGATTTTAAAGTATTAGTTTGGTTGCAGGGTGCTCAATATTAACATTTTTTAAATATTTAATGCATTTAGGATATTTTTTTCTTTTTAAAATTTATTTTGTTGTATACCCACATACATGGTAGGTATACAACACAATCTCTAATGTTAGTGTGTTCCTCATAACTGTTCATTGATGGAAGAACTTGACCTCTAAAACTAATTATTTAAATATTTTAAATAATGCATTATTAAATTTAAAATCTAAAATGTATAAATGTAATTAATATTTCTTATTTTATAAATAAAAAATTATCTAATATCTTATGTTTATGTGAAATGTTTTTAGCAGATACAAAGATACTAATTATACAATTATTGTATCACAAATATTACTTAGATAACTTACTCTAACAAGACCCGAAGACCAAAACTTAATTATATCATCTTCCTTAAAATGCTTGTCACAGACATATGTATTCTTCTTCAAAATCAAATCTTATTGAGGTATTGCTTTTGCCCACTTTATTCGGAGAACTTCATATTTCGGCTCAGAAAATGTGTGAACTTTTTCAGTATTACTCTTATACCTCGAACTTCGAAGTACACCCAATCACTTAACACATGACTATTTTATAAATATTAACAGAAATCTAATGGTTGGTCATCTCCAGATTAACACAAACTCAAATACTCTAAAAAATTAATAAATATCGACATATATACGTAAAAATTTGCTAGTTATTTTGAGTTAGAAATTCATAAAAAATTTTCTTTTTAAATCTAAGATTTGAAAATGTAATACAAGATTCCTAATAAGTTCGCCAACCTTTCTTAAAAAAAAAAATGTCCAAAGAAATAATTCAAATTAAATTTTTATGAGAGTATGAAATTAATTTTTTACAACATTTGATATTCACTCGATTTCTCATGTAATGATTTTCTTATTTTGTGTAGTAATTAAAAAATGAATGACTGTAGATACTTAAAAATTTAATCAATGCGTATTTTCTCATTTTCTATACACCATACAATTTTGAAAATATTTTTACTAATTTTGAGCTTTTTACGGACAATTTCAAATTTCCAGATTTTTATTTTAATTTTTTTTATATAAATATTAATAAAATGTAATTTGTTTGTCAAAAAAGCGTGAAAATGTAATACAAGACTCCTGATATTTTATCTTACAATAGCGGTTGAAAAATATTAAAAATGCATAGGCACACATTTTTTTTATAAGCATTTGAAGTTCGAATTTCGACAAAATTTATTAAAATTACGAAATTTATCAATCATTGTAATTAAAAAATTATAAAATGTTCAGTTTTTATAACTAAGGATTGAAAATTTAAAACAATGATCGATTCTCATAAATAGTTCATACTGTAACCAAAAAATCTAAAAAATATATAAACACAGTTATCTTATACAGACATTTTAAATTCAAATTTGGACGAAATTACATATTAAAACCAAGAATAACAATTTTAGTTATTTTGTTGTAATTTACAAATATTATTTATTGATATATGAAACTCTTAGAGTATATTGTTATAGTTTATGTACACTCAATGACATTTTAAAATTTCGAAAAAAATGAATTTAACCTATTGTAGTATATACTAATGCCTAATACTAAAATTAATTAGTTACTTTACTTTCAATAATATCATAAAATATACCTGTTATAGGCTGACATACCGTCTCCTCTCAGAATCGTTTTTCGTACACAATGATATTGAATTTATTCAAATTTAATACAATCCATTACCTATACAGTGACCCACTTGTAACCTTCTGTAGTTCTGTACCTATAGGCTATAGTAGAGAGACATCCACTTTGTTTTCGTTTTTTTTTCAATTATTGTCGATAAATAAGTAATTTTTTGCTGTGTCC